ATCTGAAATAATTTTCATTCACATTTCCACAGTGTAAATTTTATATTTTACAATGTTTGATACTCCTATATATCAATCAGTTCATTTTATTAGATTTATTTTTTTGCTTTAAGATTGTATCATTTATTAATGACTTCAGAACTAAAATTACCATGGTTCTTATTTGCAATGTATGTATCTATGTACTATGCAAAAACTTATACATAGTTCTTGTGTCCTTCAACTTAAAAGGGCAAATCCTTACGTGTACTGCAGTCTGTTATAAATACCTACCATTTTGATTTATATCTGGCTGAAGATCTTCAATGAGCTCTTGTTTCTTCTGTAATTCTTCATGGACCTCTGTTAGTTTTTCCCTAAGTGGTGGAAAGAGCATGGAGCTTGGAGTCAAACAGACCTAAGAATGAAAGTGGTCCCTGCCACATAACATTTGTGGACTTCAGGCAAGTCGCTTTCTGACTCTTAGGTGCCTCACCCGTGAAATGGGAATACTACTTTCCTAACTATAGGGGCTGCCATGAGGATGTAAACTGCCTGGCACAAGGTGGGTGCCAAAAATGTTAAATTACTTCCCTTGCCACCCTGACTTCCTATGAAAGTAAGAGAAAATATTTTATAGGTGTAACATCCCACATAATCTAGTTGTGATAGTAGTTGTGTGCTTTGTTAAACTCTTGAAATGATATTAGCAACTAAAAAATGTAGGAGTTTGGGATGGTTCTCAGGCAAGCTGAACCTTCTAGCATGTTTTTCTTTTCTCTTTTTGGTAGCAGTGGTAAACATTCAATTAGCACTAGGGTATTTGCTTTCATAAACAAAATCAGAAAAGGATATTAACTTTAGAAGCTTCACAACCCTGCCCCTCTCATATTTGAAATGAAATACCAGTTTTACTTACATATGAGCTTCCAACTTCTGCTTTAGTTTGCTGGACTATAAAATTAAAAAAAGTTGTTGTAAGATGACTATCTTGACAAAAGTAAATTTTCCAGACATCTAAATCTCTTTACCTCCTTTT